ATGAACAAAAAAAGTTAAAAATTGGTGTTCATTAAAATTATAAACTTCTGCTGTGTGAAAGTTATGAGAATGAGAAGACAAGCCATGAACTGGGAGAAAAATCTTTGTTAAACAAATATCTGGTAAAGAACTTACGTATAAAATATACAAAGAATTCTTAAAACTCAACAATAACAAACAACCCAATTTAAATGAGGCCAAGAGATCTGAACAGATGCCTCACTAGAGAAGATAAACTCATGGTAAATAAGTATATGAAAAGTTGCTCAGTGTCATATGTCATTAGGGTATTAAAAATTTAAACAACCATGAGACATAACTATACATTTTTTAGAATGACTAAAATCCGAAACACTGATAGCTCCAAATGTTGTCAATAATGTGGGGTAACAGGAATTCACTTTCACTGTTGGCAGGAATGCAAAATGGTACGGCCACTTTGTTTTGTGTGGTTGTATGTGTTGTTTTGTTTTAGAGAGAGTATGAGCAGGGGAGGGGGGAGAGGGGCAGAGGAAGACAATCTGAAGTAGACTCCACGATGAGTGCCAAGCCCAATGTGGTGCTCAATATCATGACCCTGAGATCATGACCTGAGCTGAAATCAAGAGTCAGACACTTGGGCGCCTGGGTGGCTCAGTCGTTAAGCGTCTGCCTTCGGCTCAGGTCATGATCCCAGGGTCCTGGGATCGAGCCCTACATCGGGCTCCCTGCCCAGCAGGAAGCCTGCTTCTCCCTCTCCCTCTCCCACTGCTTGTGTTCCCTCTCTCACTGTGTATCTCTCTGTCAAATAAGTAAATAAAATCTTAAAAAAAAAAAAAAAGTGACACTTAACTGACAGAGCCACCCAGGTGCCCCTTGTACAGCCATTTTGGAAGACAGTTTGGCACTTTCTTATGTAACTAAACATAGTCCTACTGTATGATCCGGTAATTGTGCTCCTAGATATTTACCCAAATAAATTGAAAACTTTTGTATTACAAAAACCTGCACATAAGTGTTTATAAAAGTTTTCCAAAACTTGAAAGCAACCAAGATGTCCTTCAATAGGTGAATGGTTCATCCATACAAAGGACTATTATTCAGCAGTGAAAAATAAATTAGCTATTGAGTCATGAAAAGACATGAAGGAACCTTAAATGCTTAGCAACTTGTTAAGTGAAAGGAGCCAGTTTGAAGAATTTACACACTTTATGATTCCAACTATATCACATTCTGGAAGAGGCAAATAGTGGAGTTAGTAACAATCAGTAGTTGCCTGGATTTGGGGAGGAGGAAGGGCTAGGTAGAGTACAGGGGATTTTTATATATATAATTATATATATAATTGTGTGTGTGTGTGTGTGTGTGTATATACATATATATATATGTATATATATCTTCACATCTTCTTTATCCATTCAACAGTTGATGGACATTCGGGTTCTCTCCATAGTTTGGTTACTATTGATAATGTTGCTATAAACATTGGAGAACATGTACCCCTTCAAATCTGTATTTTTGTATCCTTTGGGTAAATACCTAGTAATGAATGCAATTGCTGAATCATAGGGTAGTTCTATTTTTAACTTTTTGAGGAACCTCCAAACTGTTCTCCAGAGTGGTTGCACCAGTTTGCGTTCCCACCAACAGTGCAAAAGGGTTCCCCTTTCTCTGCATACTCACCAACACCTGTTGCTTCTTGTGTTGTTAATTTTAGCCATTCTGAAAGGTGTGAGGTGGTATTTCATCGTGTTTTGATATGTATTTCCCTGATGATGAATGATGTTAAGCATCTTTTCATGTTTCTGTTAGCCATCTGGATGTCTTCTTTGGAAAAGTGTCCATTCATATCTTCTGCCCATTTCTTAACTGGATTATTTGTTTTTTGGTTGAGTTTGATAAGTGCTTTATAGATTTTAGATACGAACCCTTTATCAGATATGTCATATGCAAATATCTTCTCCCATTCCATAGGCTGCCTTATAGTTCTGTCGATTGTTTCCTTCGCTGTACCAAAGCAATTCTGAAAAAGAAAAAACTGGAGGCATCACAGTTCTGGATTTCAAGCTATATTACAAAGCTTTAGTCATCTAGACATGTGGTACTGACACAAAAACAGACACACAGATCAGTGGAACAGAATAGAGAACCCAGAAATGGGCCCACAACTATATGGTCAGCTAATTGTAAGCTTTTTATTTAACCCTTTTAAAGATCTTATCTCTGTGTCCATTTTCTCCCATGCCAAGAGTCCTGGTTATCATGAACACTAAAAATGATAGGATTGGAATATCATATTTACTTATTTTATTCTACATTATACAAACAACTCTCTAAAATAAGATCAACATTACTACCAACAGTATGATTACTCAGAACAGTTTGAGACAATTGTTTTGGCAATTCTTTTTTTTCCGCCCCCTTGTAGGATGTATTTCACAGTCAAATTACTATGTTTGAAAGTTATTTGAAATAGTTTCCTTGTGTGGTTATTCCAATAATTGTAAATACTGTTGTTTTTTTTTTTAATTCAGTATTTTCTACTTTTAAGCTGTTCTTGTTATAATTTGTTTTATAATTACAGAAAATATTTATATACCTCCAAAGTCAAATTTACAAAACAAGTTGTATTGAAAGAAGTCTGACTTCTATCCCTGCCCCTCCACCTGTTCCTTCCCCACCCTACAATCCATCCCCCCTTTTAAAAAATAAAAACAAATGTATGTTATACATGCATACTTCCTCTTCCTGTCTCTCCTTCCTAAGATAAAAGGCATAACTCTACATACTTTTGTCCACATTTCCTCACAATTAACAATGTATTTTTTTAAGATTTTATTTATGTATTTGGGAGAGAGAACAAGCGGAGGGGAGAGGCAGAGGGAGAGGAAGAAGCAGCCTCCCCGCTGAGCAGGGAGCCTGATGTGGGGCTCGATCCCATTACCCTAGATCGTGACCTGAGCCAAGGCAAAAGCCTAACCAACTGAGCCACCAGGTGCCCCTATATTCCCTTTCTTAACTGCTGCATGGTATTCTGTAATGTGGCTAAACCATGAATTACTTCCATCAGCCACTTACCAGTGGACAATTGGGTAATTTTTAATCTTTTGCTGTAACACATTATGCTTCAGTGAAACCCTTTTGCAGCAGACTTTTGACATTTTGCTAATGCAATTTTGGGATTGATTTCACAGAAGTGGAGTTGTTAGATCAAATCATACATGTAATTGTGCTAAATACTGCCATATTTCCTTTCATAGAGTTTCTATCATTCATATTCTTTTTTTTTTTTTTTAAAGATTTTATTTATTTATTTGAGAGAGAGAGAATGAGAGAGAGCACATGAGAGGGGGGAGGGCCAGAGGGAGAAGCAGACTCCCTGCCGAGCAGGGAGCCTGATGCGGGACTCGATCCCGGGACTCCAGGATCATGACCTGAGCCGAAGGCAGTCGCTTAACCAACTGAGCCACCCAGGCGCCCTCTATCATTCATATTCTTACTAGCAATGTATATAAGTACCAATTTCCTTACAGCCTTGCTAACAGTATATGATGTCACATTTGGAAATTTCCTATTCTAAAAGGTTTCATAGCATGCCAGTGTAGTTTTTTAGAACTACTGAGATATATTTCACATGACATACAGTTTACCCGTTTATAGCAAACAGTGATGATTTTTATGTATTCACGGTCTCATACAGCCATCACCACAATTTTGGATATTTTTATCACCCCAAAAAGAAACCAGTATCCAATAGTAGCCATTCCCCATGTTTCTCTGTCTACCCCTCAGCCCTGTGCAGCTATTGCTCTGTCTGTATGGATTTGCCTATTCTGGACAATTCGTATAAAAGGAATCATACAATATGTGGTCTTTTGTGACTGGCTTATTTCACTAAGCATAATATTTTCAAAGTTCATTCATGTTGTAACATGTGTCAGTATTTTTATTGCCAAGCATTCTATTGTAAGGATATACCATATTTTATTTATCCATTCATCAGTGGATGTTTGAGTTATTTCCACCTTATGCTTATGATGAATAATGTTATGAACATTGTATTCAAGTTTTTTATATAGACATGTGTTTTCAGTTCTCTTGGCTCTATACCTATGAGTGGGATTTCTGGGTTATGTGGTAATTCTATGTTGGACACTTCTGTTGGGCATATAACTTGGAGTGAAATTGCAGGGTAATATGGCAACTCTATGTTAACTTCTCGAGGAAGTGCAAAACTGTTTTACAAAGCAGCTGTACCATTTTGCATTCCCATCAGCAAGCTATGAGACTTCCATTTTCTCCATATCCTCACTTCTGTGTAGCTTTAATTTGCATTTATCTTATGAGCAAATTTGAGTATATTTTCATATGGTTGAAAGCTATTTACATTACTTTTCTATCAACTGTCCATTTTCCTAATCCATTTTTTTATAGTGCTGGTGCCCAGTTTTATATAGTAGTCTTTTTCTTTTTAGTCTAATTTTAGAAACTGTTTATATATTAGATATATAATAGGCATAATGCAACTTTGCAAATATTTGTCATTTTACTTACCCTATCCTGTTTTTGACATGCCAACTTTTTTTTTAACTATATTGTGGTCATTTTTATCAAATTATAATTAGGAAATTTTTCCCCATTCCTAGTTTATGGAAGAAGTCTCACTCAAGTTTTATTCTAATTATTTATATGTTTTCATTTCTGTAAGTATGGACATCTGATCCACTTGGAATTTGTCCAACTGTACGATATGAGGAATTAATAAAATTTTATCTTTTTTCTATATGTCTACCCATATGTTTATAATTTCATTTATTAAAAAGAGTTCATGTTTTTCCTACTGATTTGAGCTGCCAGCTTTATTGTATACTAAATTTGCACTGTTTCTGGATTTTTCTTTTCTGCTCCATTGGTTCCATTGACATGAGTATGATGTTCAGTTTGAGTCTACTCTTACTACCTTAGAGGTTTTATTTTTCAAGGAATATGAAAGTAACATTTACTTTCTTGTTACCTTACAGACTGGGAATCCAGGTGTGAGACCAAAAAGCTGTCCTCAAAGAGAGGAATTTATGAAATAGAATCATCTCAATGGGAGATAATAGAACAGCTCACAAGACATAAGTGTGAGTGTAAAAGTTTTCAAGATGATAGGGAATGCAAAGACCAGATTGAAAGTCAATTTGGAAATAAAGAGGGACTTTTCAGGCAACTTTTAATCACTTGTAAAGAAATTCCCAATTTTAGCCAGACCACATCCCTTACATTAAAACGAAGAATTCATTTTCTGGAGAAATCCTATGAATGTAAAGCATGCAGAAAATACTTTATCCGTGGCTTTCAACTTACAGAACATCAGAAGGGTCATTCCAATGAAAAATTCTGTGAATGTAAAGAATGTGGAAAGGCCTTTATTCGGGGCTCAGAACTTACTTACCATCAGAGAGTTCATGTTAAGAAACCCTATGAATGTAAGGAATGTGGAAAAGCCTTTATTTGTGCCTCACAGCTTACTTATCATCGAAGAATTCATACTGGGGAGAAACCTTATAAATGTAAAGAGTGTGGGAAGGCCTTTATTCGTGGCTCTCATCTTACCCAACATCAAAGAATTCATACTGGTGAAAGACCCTATGAATGTAATGAATGTGGTAAGGCCTTTTTTCGTGGCTCTCAACTTACTTACCATCAGAGAGTTCATACTGCAGAGAAACCCTATCAATGTAAAGAATGTGGAAAGGCCTTTATTCGTGGCTCCCAACTTACTGAACATCAGAGAATTCATACAGGTGAGAAACCTTATGAATGTAAGAAATGTGGGAAAGCCTTTAGTTATGGCTCACAGCTTACTCTACATCACAGACTTCATACTGGTGAAAAACCCTATAAATGTAAAGATTGTGAGATGTCCTTTATTCGTGGCTCACAACTTACTGAACATCAGAGGATTCATACAGGTAGGAAACCACATGAATGTAAGCAATGTGGAAAGGCCTTTAACTATGGCTCACAGCTTATTCGACATCAGAGGATTCATACTGGTGAGAAACCCTATGAATGCCAAGAATGTGGGAAATCATTTATTCGTGGCTCCCAACTTACTGAACATCAAAAAATTCACACTGGAGAAAAACCTTTTGAATGTAAGGAATGTGGGAAAGCCTTTATTCGTGGCTCACATCTTACTCAGCATCAGAGGATTCATACTGGTGAGAAACCCTATGAATGTAAAGAGTGTGGGAAGACCTTTATTTATAGCTCACAACTGACTCAACATCAGAGAATTCATACAGGTGAGAATCCCTGTGAATGTAAGCAGTGTGGGAAGATCTTTATTTGTGCCTCACAACTTACTCTACATCAGATTTCTCATTCTGGTAGGAAACCATATGAATGTAAGGAATGTGGTAAGGCTTTTATTCGTGGCTCACAGCTAACTTACCATCAGAGAGTTCATACTGGTGAGAAGCCCTATGAGTGTAATGAATGTGGGAAAGCCTTTATTCGTGGTTCACATCTTACTCAGCACCAGAGAATTCATACCGGTGAGAAACCATACAAATGTCATGAATGTGGGAAGGCCTTTAATCGTGGCTCACAACTTACTCAACATCAGAGAATTCATTCTGGTGAAAAGCCTTATAAGTGTAATGAATGTGGTAAGGACTTTAGACGTCACTCACACCTTACTCAACATCATAAACTTCATAATTGAGAAAAACTTTATGAAAACACAAATTTTTTAAATCTTTTATCTGCCCATTGGCACTCAGCTTTGGAATATCAGATAATTCAAATCATGAAAGTGGGAATCCTTTACTTTCACTCATAGGTAATGACTCAGAAAATTCAAACAAGGAAAGGCTAGATTAATATAATGGAGAATCAGTTTCCATCATATTTCAATCTTTGTTAGGCATTAGTGAATTCATACGAGAGTACAACCATAAAATATAGGGTTTTCTTGTTTGGCATCGTTCTCTTGTTTAGCATGATCTGAGTCCCACTGTTTACTACATGTGTGTTCCTTTGGGAAAGTTAGTTAACCCCTGTTGCTTTAGTTTTTTCATTTATTAAACATTAAATATTCTCATTATAATGATTTAAAGACATAAATACATATAAAGCCTTGAAGCAGTGTCTAATAACTAGATTATACTTAATAAACATTAGTTATTGAAATTTTATTATTCAGTATTTTAAAAAATTTTGTTTTCCTTCTGGGCTCGAGTCATCTTTCTTTTTTCTCAATTGAAGTGTAGTTGACGTACAATGTTATATTAGTTTCAGGTATACACCATAGTGATTTGACAATTCTGTACCTTACTCAATACTGACCACAATATGTGTGGTTACCGTCTGTCTTTATACAACATTGTTACAATATTATTATTGACTATGATCTATTAACTGTGCTGTGCTTTTCATCCCTGTGATTTACTTACTCTGTTTTATTTTTTTAAAAGATTTTTTATTTATTCATTTAACAGAGCTAGAGAGAGAGCACAAGTAGGCAGAGTGGCAGGGAGAGGGAGAAGCAGGCTCTCTGCTGAGCAGGGAGTCTGATGCGGGGCTCGATCCCAGGACCGTGGGATCATGACCTGAGCCGAAGGCAGTCGCTAACTGACAGCCACCCAGGCGTCCGATTTACTTATTTTATAACTGGAAGTTTGTACCTCTTAATCCTCTTCACCTATTTCACCCACCCTCAAGCCCCTGCCCCTCTGGCAACCACCAGTTCTATGTATTTATGATTCTGTTTCTGTTTTGTGTTTCAGATTCCAGATATAAGTGAAATCAGATGGTATTTGTCTTTCTCTGTTGACTTATTCCACTTAGCCTAATGTCCTCTAAGTCCATCCATGTTGTTGCAAATGGCAAGACCTCATTCTTTTTTAAGGGGGAGGAAAGAAGGGATCCTCCCCCTGCCTTTAGCTAATATTTCCCTGTGTATATATATATATACTACATCTTCTTTATTTATTTGTCTATTGATGGACACTTAGGTTGCGTCCATGTCTTAGCTATTGTAAATAATGCTTCAGTAAACATTGGGGTGCATATATCTTTTCAAATTTGTATTTTCATTTTCTTTGGGTAAATACCCAGTAGTTGAATTACTGGATAGTATGGTATTTCTATTTTTAATTTTTTTGAGGAAGCTTCATACTGTTTTCCAGTGATTGCATCAGTTTACATTCCCACCAACAGTGCATTGAGGGTTTCCTTTTTTCAGTATTTTAATTGTATATTATTACAGAATTCAAATGAGAGGAAGACTTTACAAATACAGTACACAAGGTAACACTTTAATCAGTCTTTTTTTTTTTTTTTAAGATTTTATTTATTTATTCTTGAGAGACAGAGAGAGAGAGGCAGAGGGAGAAGCAGGCTCCCAAGGAGCAGAGAGCCCGATGCGGGACTCGATCCCAGGACCCTGGGATCATGACCTGAGCTGAAGGCAGTCGCTTAACCAACTGAGCCACCCAGGCGCCCTAATCAGTCTTACTAATCATCAGATAAATGATTTTGGAACAGAACATCCTAATACAATTAATGTGAGGTTATACCTTGTTCTGAACATTAAAATTCTTATTAGAAGGAAACCCTAAGGAAAATGGCTGTTACAAATAAAGCTACATATGAACATTTGTATATAGGTTTTTGTGTGAATATAATTTACATTTTCCTGATATAAATGCCTAAGAGTGCAATTTCTGGGTCTTAGAGTAAATGCATGTTTTCTTTTATAAGAAATGGACATATTATTTTTCAAAATGGCTTTACCATTTTACATTCACACCAGGAGCGTATGAGTGACTTTCTCAGTATTTGGTGGTGTCATCACTTTTTATTTTAGCCATTGTGATAGGTGTGTAGTGATGTCTCTTCGTGGTCTTAATTTGCATTCCCCTAATGACTAATGATGTTGAATACTTTTTCCTGTGTTTGTCATCTGTATGTCCATTTTGGTGAAATGCCTGTGTCTTTTACTCATTTTTGAATTTTATTTTTTATTGTTGGGTTTTGAAAGAGTACTTTCTATATTCTAGATGATACTAGTCCTTTGCTATGTGGTTGTGAATATTTTTCCTGAAGCATAGCTTATTTTTTTTAACCTTTTAATAGGGTCTTTTGAAGAGCAGAAGTTTTCAGTTTTGATAATGTCTACTTTATCAATTTTTCCTTTTATGGCTTTGCTTTGGTGTCAAATCTAAGGACTCCTTGCCTAGCCCAGATTCCAAAGATTTTTCCTATGTTTTTGCATAAATTTTTTATAATTTTACACATTTTACACCTAAGTCTATAATCTATTTTGAGTTAATTTTTCATGTATGTTGTATGCTTTAGTTTAATGTTCTTTCTTAGTTTGTTTTGGCTAATGGATGTCCATTTGCTCAAGCATCATTTGTTGAAAACACTGTCTTTCCTCCATTAAATTGCTTTTGTACCTCTGTCAAAAATCTATTGAATATATGTATGTATATCTTACTTCAAGGTGTTCTATTTCCTTCCATTGATCTATGTGTCTGTCCCTGTGCCAATATCACACTGCCTTGATTACTGTCATTTTATAGGATGTCTTAATGGGATTTCTCCTACTTTATTCTTTTTCAAGCTGATTTACCTATTCTTAGTTTTTGCCATTTCATATAAATATTAGGATAAGCTTACCTATATCTACAAAATCTTGCTGAGGTTTTAATAGGAATTCTGTTTAGAAATAATTTGTATCTTTAGTAAATCTTTTAAGATTTTATTTATTTGACAGAGAGACAGCACAAATAGGCAGAGCGGCAGGCAGAGGGAGAGGGAGAAGCAGGCTCTCCGCTGAGCAGAGAGCCAGATGCAGGGCTTGATCCCAGGACTCTGAGATCATGACCTGAGCTGAAGGCAGCCGCCCAACCGACTGAGCCACCCAGGCGCCCCTTTAGTAAATCTTTTAATCCATGAATCTGGTATGTCTCTCCATTTTTAGGTTATTGTTGTTAGTTTGTGTTCTCCAAAATATTCAGGTAGTAACTCCCAGTACTTATGAGTGTGACCTAATTTGGAAATAGGGTCTTTGCTGATGTATTCAAGTTAAGATGGAGATCATATTGGATTAGATTACTAATAACTCTGATGGCTCGTGTCCTGATAAGAAGAGGGAAATATGGACACAAACACACAGGGAAGGCCATGTGAAACCAGAGACAGATTGAATGATGCATCTACAAGCCAAGGAACACCAAGAATTACTAGTAACTACTAGAAACTAGAAGGGAAAGAAGGGATCCTCCCCCTGCCTTCAGAGAGAGCATGACCCTGCCAATACCTTAATTTTGAACTTCTGTTCCCCAAAACTGTAATAGATTTTTGCTGTTTGAAAACACTAAGCTTGTGGTAGTTTGTTTTGGCAGCCCGAGGAAACTAATGTCATCTTTTAAAAAATTTTTTACTAGGATTTGTAATTTTTGGCATACAGATCTTATACATGATTTGTAAGTGTATATACTTAAGTGTCTCACTTTCTTTGGAAAAATTCTAATTGGTGTTTTTAATTTCAACTTTTAACTATTCAACATTAGTATATACAAATTATATAAATGTATATCTGTATGTTGATCTGGTAATCTGTGACCTTGCTGCAAAACTCACCAACTCATTCTGGAAGGTTTTGTTTCATTTTTTAGTAAATTCCTTGGGGTTTTCTTTTCTTTTCTTTTCTTTTTTTAAGATTTTATTTATTTGAGAGAGAGAGAATGAGAGACAGAGAGCATGAGAGGGAGGAGGGTCAGAGGGAGAAGCAGACTCCCCGCCGAGCAGGGAGCCCGATGCGGGACCCGATCCTGGGACTCCAGGATCATGACCTGAGCCGAAGGCAGTCGCTTAACCAACTGAGCCACCCAGGCGCCCTCCCTTGGGGTTTTCTATATAGACAATCATGTCATCTATGAACAGCGACAGGAAAGTCTGTGTCTTTTATTTCTTTTGTTTGCCTTATGCTGGCTGTAACTTTTAGTGGTATGTTGAATCACACAGGCGAGAGCAGACATCCTTGCATTTTTCCAGATCTTAGGGGGAAACATTGTCTTTCACCATGAAGTACAAAGTAAGCTGTAGGCTTTATGTAGATGCTCTTTTTTATTTTATTTTTTTAAGATTTTATTTATTTATTTGACAGAGAGAGACACAGCAAGAGAGGGAACACAAGCAGGGGGAGTGGGAGAGGGAGAAGCAGGCTCCCCGCAGAGCAGGGAGCCCGATGCGGGACTCGATCCCAGGACCGTGGGATCATGACCCGAGCTGAAGGCAGTCGCTTAACCAACTGAGCCACCCAGGCGCCTTAGATGTTCTTTTTTAAATTGAAGAAGTTCCCTTCTGCTCTTGAGAGGCTTTTTAAAATCATGAATGCATATTGGATTTTATCTGGACACATGATATGATTATATGATTTTTTTTCTTCAACCTGTATATATGGTGGATTACATGGATTGATTTTTGAATATAAAACCAGTCCTTGTATACCTGTAATAAATTCCATGTAGTCATGTTTTCTAATTTCTTTTTGGAATTGATATGCTAACATTTTGTTGAAGATTTTTCTAAAATTATGATGTTCTATCATTGTCATTTTCTTTCTTTTCCTCCCTCCTTTCCTTATTTCTTCTAGTCTTTGTCTCACTTTGTATTGTATAATGTTGGCCTCATAAAATGAATTGGGAAGTGTTTTTCTGTTTTCTGAAAAAAGTTGTATAAAATTTGTGTTCATTTTTCAGATGTTTATGAAAATTTGCAAGTGAAACCATTTGGGCCTGAAGATTTTTAGGGAGCTTTACAATTATAAAGTCAGTTTCTTTAATGGTTATTCAGTCATTTGGCTACTTGGGATATCTGTTTCATCATAGTTGAGATTTGGTAGCTTGTGGTTTTTGAGAAATTTAGGCTAAGTAGTCTTACACTTAAAATTTTCCAGCTTCCTCCCCCAATAAAATTTTTGAAGCTCATTCTCTGAGGCTGGTAGCATAGCCATAGTGTCAAAATTAAACAAGACCAGATTCCCTTATAATGATAGATATAAATATTCTAAATAAAACATAAGTAATCTCTACCAGACAAAAGAATACAAAGGAATACCGCTCCCCAAGAATGTCCAAGATTTAATCTGTTCTAGATTAATTAATTACATTTTAAGAGTTTAGAAATTATATTTCGAAGAGATTATTATGATGGAAAAATTATTTGCAGCCTCAAGTCATTTTAATTCTCTCAGTGAATGGTTTTGAAATATGTGTTTTTCAAGGTTCTTTGAGAGTGGCCTAATTTACAGGACCTTATGTACAAAATTTAAGTTAAAAATTCATACAGTATTATTACCTGCAAAAGTTCATTGAAAATACACTACCTGCAAAAGTTCATGTGCAAACACACTGTATAGACATTTTGGCTGAATAGCCAAGTTTTAAAATTAATATTTGCTTTAAGACCAATGCACTAGCATAGAATCAACTTCTGGCATTCAGAAAATCTCAATTTAAAAAATGTTTATGATAGACTTTGTTAAATGATTGCAGGGATTTTTTTTCATCATGAAATTTTGAGGTCCTTTATTTGATATTTTGCTTTTAATTATTTCTTACAATATGAGAATTCCCAAATAGGACTTACTGTTGAGATAATAGCCAAGGTGAAATTAAAATAACATTAAGATTTTTGCTTTTTTTAGATGTTCAAATTATCAATGCTAGTGTCCCAATAGTTCTACAAAGATTTCAGTTATGATCTAATTTATTAATTTGCCTTTTTGTTACTTGAATTATAAATTCATTGACTCTGAAAAGGCATGAAGTTCTTCTTAAAGTTGTCTAGCAAAGACACATTCTCCTAATATTTTTATTGTTATGTCTTATTGTTTAACAAATTTTAAACTATTGATACCTACAACTTAAATGTACTGTTTATGTGCAACTTGCCAAATTAAGAGTTCAAAGGTTAGTCATTACATACTAAATAAATATTAGAGGATCATAATTCATGTGTATTTAGCAATATTGCTATGGAGTCACAACAGCCCTTCGTTGTTACCTGTACCACCAGCCTGTTTTGCTCAGGTTTTGTAATTTATTATATCATAAATAAACCTTTCACCAGTAGATTGCATGATTGTCACATCTGAAAAATATTTTTATAATGATGTAACAGTAATGTACCGTGTGCTACCTTAAAATTATTTGTTTTGAATTCTTTTACTCAGGACCATATCTCCGTGTTAATTGAATTGCATAGATAATATGTTAGCCAAAAATTTCCTGTAGTACATTTCAAGTAATACTATGATTCAGATGATATTAGAAAAAAAGATTCTGTGGTTGAAAAAGACTAAATCATGGCATATTTCACATCACTTTTTGGAGCAGTAAGTTCATTTTATTTCATCAGGGCTATAATATTTCAGTAAAGCAATTTTTTAAAACTTTAACCCATCATGTGCCAAACGTACTTGACCATGAATCCCTTCTTATAATGCCTGTTAATATCTTTTGCATATGAACTATTTTTGTAAATGCTGCTCTAGCTATGAGAAATAACCTCAGAGGTAGAAACTCTAAAACATTATAGCTGGAGGCCAATTAAGTTTATGAGAGGGCAAGTTTCTTTCTCTGTAAACCAATCCCATTCTTTTTCTACATATAGGACCCTTGTCCTCTTAAAAAAGGGAAATTCCTCCATGTAACAATCTCCCTTCACAGTCCCTTCTTACTCTTCCCTCTACCCCAATTCTTAGTTCAACTTAATGAGATATTAACAAAAAACCCCAAGAAAACAGGTTTGTGGAATTTTAAAGACATGGTAATGAAATAAATGGCTTTAACTTTGATATATTTAATCCATAAATCAAGTTCTAGAATTGGAGATTCTTTTCTAAGATGAATTTCATGACAAATAGAGGAATAAAGATGGTCAAATGGGCCATTATGCTATTACTTTGTTCTCTAACAGTTTTTTACTTATTCTCAAAAAAAATTAGAAATTAAATGTATTTTTCATGTAGTTTTTCTTTCCATATTTGAATTGCCCTTCTGAAATTATATAATGCATTTACCTGCAAAACAAGAAATTATAACAAATATACATAAAAGAAAATCTGGCTTCCTGGGGCGCCTGGGTGGCTCAGTTGGTTAAGTGTCTGCTTTTGGCTCAGGTCATGATCCCAGCGTCCTGGGATCAAGCCCCGTGTCCCTCAGGTCCTGCTCATTGGGGAGTCTGCTTCTCCCTTTCCCTCTGCAGCTCTCCCTGCTTGTGTTCTCTCTCTCTCTGTCAAATAAATGAAATCTTTAAAAAAATAAAATCTGACTTCTTAAACTAACATGTTAAAAGCGTCATGAGTACTTTTTTGTAGCTTTATGTTTAAATGTACATGTTTATACATGGTTCTTTTTTTTTTTCTTGGTTGTTTGTGAATATTTATATATTTAAACAGGATCACTGTATGGACATCAATCTGCAACTTTCCTGTAACATACATCATGGACATCTTTCCAGGTACATGTAAATCTAACTTACTCATTTTAGTGTTAGTAGCTGCAGAAGACTACATATGGAGAGGTATTAATGTTCAGATTGTTTCTCTGGTGATGAACATTCATGTTGTTTTCACTTCCTTGCTATTTCAAACAACTGTCAATGAATATCTTTAAACAAATATTTGTATATGTTTTTATTTCTGCAAGATTCTTACATCAGGTTTGTGGAACAAAGAATATGTGTATTTTTCAAAAAGATTCATTAGAGAGAGAGGGCGGGGGAGGGGCAGAGGGAGAGAGAATCCTCAAGCAGACTCCCCACTGAGCGGGGAACCTGACGTGGGGCTCAATCCCAAGACCCTGAGATCATGACCTGAGCCAAAATCAAGAGTCAGACACTTAACCGACTGAGCCACCCAGATACCCCTTTATTTATTTTATTGTAATAGTAACATTACTTTCCAGATAAAACACATTCAGTCCCATCAACAATGTTTGAGTTGCACATTTTCCTACTAATTTAATAGCACTTGGTGCTCTTTGTCAGTCTTTTTTTTTTTTTTAATTTTTTTTTTTTTTTTAGATTTTATTTATTTGAGAGAGACAGAGACGGTGAGATAGAGAGCACAAGTGGGGAGGAGAGGGAGAAGCAGGCTCCCCACAGAGCAGGGAGCCCAATGCGGGACTCGATTCCAGGACCCTGGGATCACGACCTGAGCCGAAGGCAGACGCTTAACCGACTGAGCCACCCAGGCGCCCTTTGTCAGTCTTTCTAATGAAAAATATGTCATTGCTTTAATCTGAATTTATTTAAATATAGGGTAGACTGAGCATGCTTTCATTTGCTTACTGGTCATCTGAATTTTCTGTAAATTACCTGTCAATAGTGCACAATTTCTAGTATTTTTCATTAATTTGTAGAAGTTTTTTGTGTTTATAGCTATTTATCATATGGGTTACAAAAATAATTTCTTAGTCTATCTTATACTTTAATATAAAGTTTGTTTTTTACTTTTATAGCATCAAATGTAATCTACATAGAATGTTTCCTACACCCCAAGATTATTCACATTTTCCTAAGTATCTTTTAATATTTTTTGTATTTTAAAGTCTTTTTTAGCTAAATTTCCCCAGGAACTTTTTGTACTGAAGATTTCTAAAAACCACAGGAAAACTAAAATAATAGTGAAACGTCCATCACATCCTCGACTGACTTAGTTAACATCCTGCCACATTTTATCTTTATTAATGTTACATTTCACTCCTAAATACTTCGTGCATAACCTAAAAATAAGGAGATTGTCTTAATTTTAAGAGCATGGCATTAGAAAATTAATAACTCCATTAATTTCCCAAAGTGTCTCACAACTGGTTTAGGGACACCTGGGTGGCTCAGTCAGTTAAGCGTTTGCCTTTGGCTCAGGTCATGATCCTAGGGTCCTGGAATGGAGTCCGGCATTGGGCTCCCTGCTCAGCGGGGAGCCTGCTTCTCCCTCTCCCGCTCCCCCTGCTTGTGTGTGCTCTCTCTCTCTGTCAAATAAAAAAGTCTTTGGAAAAAAAAAGATTCGGCAGCAGCCACTGTGCTGACCGGACTTCGCTTGCTCATGCACCTTGCTCTGCTTCCTCTGCAACCATGTCTGACAAACCCTACATGGCTGAGATTGAGAAATTCGATAAGTCGAAACTGAAGACAGAAACGCAAGAGAAAAATCCACTACCTTCAAAAGAAACGATTGAATGGAAGCAAGCAGGCAAATCATAATGAGGCATGTGCCGCCAATATGCACTGTACATTCCACAAGCATTGCCTTCTTTACTTCTTTTAGCTGTTTAACTTTGTAAGACGCACAGAGGTTGGATCAAGTTTAAATGACTGTGCTGCCCCTTTTCACATCAAAGAACTACTGACAACGAAGGCGCCTGCCTCTCCCATCAGCCTGTCTGGCTGGCAGGGAAGGAAAAGAACTTGCATGTTGGTGAAGGAAGAAGCTGGGAGGGACGACTGTGAAATCTAGAGTAAAAATCATGCTGGTCCAAGGTGTCCTGCAGGCTGTAAAATGCAGTTTAATCGGAGTGCCATTAGTTTGTTCAAATGATTTTAATTATTGGAATGCACAATTTTTTAAATATGCAATAAAAAGTTTTAAAACCTGAAAAAAAACTGGCTTATAAAATGTTTTTCTAAGTAAGGATCTGATCAAGGCTCTCATCTTATAATCTCTTAACTGTGAACAGTCACCACCACCACTTTTTTAGTAATTTTTTTGATCCTACCATTTTTAGAATCTAGGCTTGGTAGAATGTCAAACTTTTAGGATTTGTCTGTTTCCTCATGAATAAATACAGAAGCAGTTTTGGTAAAAATAAAATGATATGTACTTATTTTAGCAAAAGATATACTATGCATAACATAAAGCATTAAGTGTGTCATTATATAAGTAAAATAAGTTGTCCCAGTATTGCTGGATATTACTATTGTTATTGCTAAATTTGTTCACTGATTGAGGTAGTGACTACTAGACCTTTCCATTATAAACATAATTTTTAACTTTCTAATTAGTATGCAGTGAGTGGGATGGATAAACTCTTTTGAATAGTTCAAAAAATTTGACAAGGCACTCAGGTATTATGTAGAATAAATACATATTAACATGACTTCATATTTTTATAGTAAATATATGAAAATTAATGATAAATGTCAAAGATCCATTGTTTCTCAATCCTTTCCCTATTGTAGATTTAGTGTGTATAATTCCAGGCCATATACAGGTATCTGTCATTTTTTCAGATCTAATTTATTCTCTAAATGTGTTGGATGGCTAATTTTTAAGTGGCAGGAGCCTGTATTTCATTTCTTAGTACTGTGTATCTCATTCCCAAACTCCCCTTTTCTTTTCTTTTCTTTTCTTTTTTAAGATTTATTTATTTGAGAGAGAGAGAAACAGCATGAGAGGGGAGAGGGTCAAAGGGAGAAGCAGGCTCCCTGCTGAGCCAGGAGCCTGGTGTGGGACTCGATCCCAGGACTCCAGGATCATGACCTGAGCCGAAGGCAGTTGCTTAACCAACTGAGCCACCCAGGCGCCCCCAAACCAGGACTCCGGGATCATGACCTGAGCTGAAGGCAGTCACTTAACCAACTGAGCCACCAGATGCCCCCAAACTCCACTTTTCTTAATGCAACTAAGATACTCTATCACCTAGAAAATAATCCACTAAGAACTCATTAACATAAAGCATTTAATAAACATTATATAATTCTTTAACAAAAGAAAATAATGTTTTTCTTTTATAATGCAAGGGGCATGTTCTCTAGTAAAACCCAACAAAGAGGGGCGCCTGGGTGGCTCAGTCGTTAAGCGTCCCTGGGATCGAGCCCCGCGTCAGGAAGCCTGCTTCTCCGTCTTCCACTCTCCCTGCTTGTGTTCCCTCTCTCACTTTCTCTTTCTCTGTAAAATAAATAAAATCTTAAAAAAACAAACAAAGAAATAATGTTAAAAATACACTCTAAATTAAAGATTGGTAGTGCTCCTGGGCACATAGCAGAAGTGAACTAGAATCCATGAAGGGTACATGCTTGGAGAAATGATAGTGATAATGTACAACATGTTTAAACAGTAGAAGCAAAAGTCTTAAACAAATGGGGAGGTTAGCTGAGATGTGACCACAATAGACTCTACATCCTCTCAGAATGAATTTGGGGTAAAAATTTGGTAAACATGGTGAATATTTGGGTAATGCATGTTCAAAAAATGAGAGATAAGCTATGTTACCTATCAACATGTTATTTTGCATAGTTTATAATTTCCTCAAATAATATTACCTTTCCATAAATTTCCTTATTCATTTTGAGACCTATTTAGGCTGAAATATACAGATAAACTTCACTTATTTAAGATTTATTTATTTGAGAGCGAGAGTGCGCACACACAAGCAGGGGGAGGGGCAGAGGGAAGAGGGAGAAGGAGACTCCCCATTGAGCAGGGAGCCCAACACAGGGCTCGATCTCAGGACCCTGAGATCATGACATGAGCTGAAGGCAGACCATTAACTGAGCCACCCAGGAGCCCCTCTAAGTGGCTTTCTTTTACTAGACCTAGAGCCACATCTAGTCCTTGGGAAACACTCATGCATTCTTTTCTGGATACACTTTGAGATTGTTGGCTGATAGTAAAGCAGCACTAGTTCAACCCTTCTCATGATATTTAGATTTCTCCAGGAAGTCAGACAGCACCCCACTTTGTTCCCAGCTCGTAGTAACCTTAGTGTCCCCTCCCAATAAGCATAAGAGATGGGCAGACATTCTCTTCTATCTTGGAAGATGTAAGACTCAGCACACAAA